AGTGCACCATGCAAACATACAAAGTATACATTACATACATGTATATACATGTTGTGGAAATGAGATATTAACATAATTTGTAGCTAGTAAAATGTCTATTTACTCATCTAACTGTAATAAGTATTATTCTGCTTATATGTGATTAGTTAAAATGGCCGCTAGGAACTTCCCCCCTAACATCGACTAACTACCTTGTGTAACAAGATGGCGCTGGAATCTAGGGGAGACCCTCATGGTCCCAGTGACATCACCCCTTGTAGGCAGAGCATTAAGAAAACCACTTAACACCTAACCAATTAATCATGTACTATTTCATGTTATCTCTGACAAAGCATATGATGTTATTCTGCTTTAAACTTGCCGCCCCCCCTGAATAAACATTCCTCAAGTTTTTCATCAACCTGAAACTTGTGTCTGGTGTGAATTACTTCAGGGAGCGTGCACGCACTTTCTCTTTATTTTGGCCAGAGGCAGATACACAAAATAATCAATTTATTGATTGATTTCCACTTCAATTGGCGCCCAACGTGGGGCCGCGGATTTGTCGGTTCGGAGGGCCGGAAGCCATCGGACCGGAGCGGACCTCCGGAAAGTGGGACAACCGGAGCCTGATCACCTCCAAAAATACAGCCGATGCCTGTATTCTCCTGTTTTGTGTTGGTCTGCCTCCGCGTCCACTTCTGGCCTCTTTTTAACAAACCTGTCGATTGTCTATCTGCCTCCTGAGTGTTTGTATGAATGTGTGTGACGGCCGGTACATGTGTTTTCTTTTTGAACCTTAGCTTGACTGCCTAGCGGGCAGGGGATGCAGACAGCCGTTGAGGGGCTGGGAACCACCCAGGTAATAGGGTCGGGATATTGTAAGCAGCCGGTGAGGGGCTGGTAACCACCCGGGTAATAGGGTCGGGATATTGTAAGCAGCCTGTGAGGGGCTGGGAACCACCCGGGTAATAGGGTCGGGATACTGCAGGCAGTCGGTAAGGGGCTGGGAACCACCCAGGTAATAGGGTTGGGATATTGCAGGCAGCCGATGAGGGGCTGGAAACCCTGGGTGGGTAACAGGGTTGGGATATCATAGACGGCCAGCGAGAGGCTGGGAATCACATGTTGGAAGGTGGAGTTTCACTGTACCGGGCTGCAGCCTAGAGAGAGAGAGGCTGGGATTGTTGATATTTGATGCTCTTTGTTTTAATATGTACATGGCCATATTGTTTTCTGTCATTTTGTGGATTTTGTTCAATTGTTGTTACAGTGTGGGTACTCTCGGTGTTTGTGTGTTGTGTGGCTCATCCTTGATTCTGGGGTTTACTCTCATCTCTACGTGTGTAATTTTTGTAAATACCTTTTACCTTTGTTCTCTATCTTTCCTGTGTCTGCTGCCCAGAGCTGTGTTAGTCACCCACGCTCGCCCGCTCCGGTCCGTGGCCACCATCTCGGGTGGGCGGACCCCTGTGACTAGTCTACGTTTAGGGAAGACGCACGGGACCCAGGTCCTCGTGGCAGTTGAGCACTGTAGACTTTTCTTCTTCTTCTTCTCCCTTCCCCTGTCTCTGTCACGTGGAACCCTTTGTTTGGTAAAGATGGGGCAGGAACATGCTAGACCTGCTAAGGGATTTTTGGCTTGTGATATTGTGAGAGAAAGGGCAGGGGAAGAAGCTATGTTGAAAATTAAGAAAAAAGCTAAGATCTGTGGTTTCCAAATGTTGCCTAGTGGTAGGTTGCAACCAGAGTTTTGACAAAGAGGGGTTGTTACTGGATAACAGATTGACGAAAGCTGTAGAGGCTTGGTATCGAGTCGCTAGGGGTCTCAAATGGACAGAGGAAGAGTTTGACTTCGAGGGGCAGACGATTTATGTGTATCACCGAAATGTTTGCAATGATGATGTTTCCCCCATGATTTTCCGACCACCGCCCTATGATGGCGCCCAGACCGCGTTAAGTAACGCCCGCCCAGCTTCCCCCATTAACGCCCAGATACCACCTCCTTGTGGTGTAGGACAAGTCCCCACCCCCTTGTGTCCCGTGCTCGGAGCTGATGGAGCCTATTACTATCCAGTACCGTTACACTCCTTTCCCCATGCTCCTACGTCCCAGCCGTCCTTCCAGCTCCCCACCGCCCCCGACCCAGCTCCAGCTTGTTCTTCTCCCACCACTCCTGCTAGTCTGGTATTGTGACGAGACCAATATCGCCACTGTGCATTGGAGGAGCCTGGTTGCCCGCCTGCTGCCTTTAGACTATGGCCCCATGTTGAAACGCTTGAATTTCCCCTGCGGAGACACGAAAGCCGGGTCATTCGGTGCTGGCCCTGTTTGAGCGGTGATACCCCAGATAGCTATGCCATGGAGCCCATTCGTAAAATGAAAGACTATGGGAAAGACTTTGGCTCCATGGCAATTGAACTGTATGTGTGTGCTCTGAGCGCCATTCAGTAATAATGTGCGCTCAGATCTGAGCTATCTGGGGATATGTTGAATGTACCTGTTTTGTGCAATGGCTTCACAGTTATATGTTTTTATGTATTTTATTGTCTTTTGCTGCCATGTGTTCAATGGAGTTTTGCCTCGGTCCTTGGAGATAATTAGATTACTTCCCAATTATCTCCAGGACAGAAGACTCTGTGGAACTGGTTTTTGGCAGAAAAGCCATGTTTCCTTTGGTCAAAAGGACTACAATCTATCTTTTGAACCACTGGACCAATTTGGATGATTTTGACATATGTTTGTATTTGGAGTATGCTGATTCTGAAAATGTAAGTTTATGTGAATATGATGCATACTTTTCAAGTTAAGAATAATGTGGAAAAATTGTATTACTCTGCTTGTGATAATTACATTACCCATTGTGTAAGGTAATTGTATCACAGGCAGAGGGGAGGATTTTGTGTGGGAGTATCTGAGTGTATTGTATGTGTGTATTGGTTGTGTTCCAAAACCCTGTGGGTGGTACTAATGTGTATATAAGAACAATAAACCCACAGCTATGGCTGATCACTGCTTGACCCTCAAAACAGAGCCTTGTCTCGTTCTTGGGGGGATGTATTGAATGCTGTTCCAGCTTGACTGCTAGGAGTGTAAACCTATTCATATGGTTTTTCCTATTCGGCTGTTTACGGCATTCATATGATCTACTAAATGGCAGTTTAATCCTTTTATGCCTGGGGGTGCCGTTACAATTGGTGGCAAGCGGTGGGATCGTTCCTACAGCCAGAAGGACAGCTACAGGAGACACCATTTCTTTGGATTTACAAGTGGGGGCAACGCATGTCCCAGTACAGCGACCCTAAAAGCAACAGAATGGAACCAGCAGTGTTATACAAGGAGGAGGACCTGGATGGCCGGGATGCATTAAGGAAAGGCATCTGGTACCAGGCCCTGGATAACGTACAATAACAGCGGGGTGAGAGTCTCCCCAGTGAAGAGCAACGGTTGCAGAAGTAAGTGGCCCTGCGGATGCCCTTCCTGGGAGAGCAGCCCCTGGAGGAATGGGTGAAGGAACTAGAGCAGCGGGTATGGCAGGAGCTATGGCTGGAGGATGCCTACCAGGTGCTCTGGTGGTATATGGCACAATATATACCCTGGACAGCCGAGCATGACAAGCCAGAGAGAGTTGATGGTCCTGGCTTGTTATGGGAGTCCTTTGCAGAGCCTGACTTTGGGAGCCCTGCACAGGACATTTTCTACGAGAGGGAGGCTAGGCATGACTGGGATGACCCCCATGAGGTATAGCAAGACCTTGCTCACTTAGCAACCCAGGAGTGGGAACTGGAGCAGGACTACCGAGATCTCTCCCACTCCATTGGGAAGGCTCCGTAGGACAGCAGAGTGACAGATCCAGTTCCAGAACCCTTCAGCTGGGAAGATATTGTTGAGATTTACTGGGAGGAACCCCAGACGGCAGGTGGAGATGGGACCGAGGTCTCTCCACCGGCCCTACATGGATGCTGGGCGGTCAGCCCAGATCCCCAGCGGCAGATTGATTTGCAGGGAATAGAGAGCCATGTCTCCTTTCCCCAGCGGCAGTGTACCTTGCAGGGAGAGGAGAGCAGCGTTCTCCCTCCCCAGCAACAGGGTGAGCTACAGGGATGCTGGGCGGTCAGCTCAGATCCCCAGTAGCAGTGTGAATTGCAGGGAATTGGGAGCCCAGTCTCCATTCCCCAGCGGCAGTATGAGTTATTGGGAATTGGAATCCCAGTCTCCATTCCCCAGTGGCAGAGTGTCCTACAGGGATAGAGAGCCCAGTCTCCTTTCCCCAGCAGCAGGACTCTGTACTGGGAGCAGAGACAGTCAGTCTCCCTCCCCCTCGTCTGGAAGTATATATGGGAGAGGAGCTTGTTAAACCCTCTCCTCAGCGGCAGCTTAACGTACCAGGGGGAGACAGTAAGCCCCACAACCGTGCTGATGGGACCGTGGTCTCTGCACTTACAGCACAGGGGGTAGGGACAGTTGGTCCTTCCCCCCAGTGACAGGGCTGTTTAGCCAAAGGGGAGACAGTCGGTCCCCCCCTTCAGCAGCAGAGCTGTGTATCTAAAGGGGAGAAAGTGGGGCTCCCTCTCCAACATCCAGGCTCCAACCAGGCTACTCCCGTGGTAGTGCTGGCACCAGGGCAGAGTACCGCTGGTCCAGCTTACCAGTCACCCACACAGCCATGGTGAGGCACCTGGACATGGACAAAGTTCTCCTCTACCCAGGTATAGTAACCAGTTATTGTGGGTGGGCTGTATTACTGATTGTGTTTGGTGGGAGGGCTGCTGGACTAACAAGGGCACTGACTGGCAGGAGGTCAGATACCCTGTGTAACGGACCGTTTTGCACACAAGGGGCAAAAACCGTTTAGGCGATCGGCCCCCTTTCCAGAGATTCAGGCACAGCTACTGCAGAACACCAAAACTCACGAACTGGATACAAAATAGCACTCCAACTCCCGAACTGGAACCTCCCAAATAGCTGCTAGCAGACGAACAGAAAAAGCAGACGAACAGCTTACACTCCTGGCAATCAGTCTCTAACAGCATACAGTGAATCCCCCCAAGAACGAGACAAGGCTCCGTGTTGAGGGTCAAGCAGTGGTCTCAGGTGCTGGCACACCCAGCCTGGTTTTTATTACAGTCTTGCAAATACAGGACCGCCCACAGGGAGGTATAAAACAACCAATCACATCACAGTTACATCCCACACATTCCCTCCCCTTATCCTGAGAGGAAACTCAATTACACATACAGTTAAAACATACTTTCTACCCAACTTTCATAACTCTAAAACCATACATCACATTCACATAAAATTACATATTCACAATCAATCCATTCAGGGGAACAACATATTAAAAAATGGCACGAATCAGACTAGGGGTTCAAAAGTTAAGGGAAAGTCCTTTGTGACTAAATGAAGCATGGCTTTCTGGCCCAAACCAGTTTCAGAGTCTTCTATCCTGGAGAGTAATTCAATTATCTCCCAGGACAGACACAAGACTCCATTAAGCACATGGTTGCAAAAAGACACAAAGACAGTAAAACACTTTAAAATACATAAAGTTACATTTTACACATAACACACAGACATGTAACATATCCCCAGATAGCTCAGGTCCGAGCGCACATTATTAAGTGAGTGGCGCTCAGACCACACGAATACAGTTTAATCGCCATGGAGCCAAAGTCTTTACAGTCAGTTTCATATGAATGGGCTCCATGGGATTCCTATCTGGGGTATAACACATTCAAACAAATCTACCGAACCCCAGGCAGAAAAGCACGAATGAAGCTTTTCTGCAGGTAAAAAAGATGTCTTTTAACAGGGGGCCATAGTCCAGGGGCAGCAGGCGGGCAACCAGGCTTCTCCAATGCAATGTGGCGAGATAGGTCTCGTCACACCCTGTTAGTCTGTTTGGAAAAGGGGAGAGATGTGACGAGACCAATCTCGCCACTGTGCATTGGAGGAGCCTGGTTGCCCACCTGCTGCCTTTAGACTATGGCTCCATGTTGAAACGCTTGATTTTCCCCTGCAGAGACACGAAAGCCGGGTCATTCAGTGCTGGTCCTGTTTGAGCGGTGATACCCCAGATAGCTATGCCATGGTGCCCATTCGTATAACGAAAGACTATGGGAAAGACTTTGGCTCCATGGCAATTGAACTGTATATGTGTGCTCTGAGCGCCATTCAGTAATAATGTGCGCTCAGATCTGAGCTATCTGGGGATATGTTGAATGTACCTGTTTTGTTCAATGGCTGCACAGTTATATGTTTTTATGTATTTTATTGTCTTTTGCTGCCATGTGTTCAATGGAGTTTTGCCTCTGTCCTTGGAGATAATTGGATTACTTCCCAATTATCTCCAGGATAGAAGACTCTGTGGAACTGATTTTGGGCAGAAAAGCCATGCTTCCTTTGGTCACAAAGGACTACGATCTATCTTTTGAACCACTGGACCAATTTGGATGATTTTGACATATGTTTGTATTTGGAGTATGCTGATTCTGAAAATGTAAGTTTTCAAGTTATAAATAATGTGGAAAAATTGTATTTCTCTGCTTGTGATAATTACATTACCCATTGTGTAAGGTAATTGTATCACAGGCAGAGGGGAGGATTTTGTGTGGGAGTGTCTGAGTGTATTGTATGTGTTTATTGGTTGTGTTCCAAAACCCTGTGGGTGGTACTAATGTGTATATAAAAACAATAAACCCACAGCTCTGGCTGTTCACTGCTTGACCCTCAAAACAGAGCCTTGTCTCATTCTTGGGGGGATTTATTGTATGCTGTTCCAGCTTGACTGCTAGGAGTGTAAACCTATTCATTTAGTTTTTCCTATTCGGCTGTTTACGGCATTCATATGGTTCCTTGTTCGGCGGATTGGTGTTCTGCAGTAGCTGTGCCTGTGTCTCTGGAAGGGAAGATCTACTAAACAGCGGTTTAACCCTTTAATGCCTGAGGGTGCCATTACAGGTATCCTCTCTCCTCTCTGCTATTTCACCCTACTCCACCTCCTGCGTTCCCTGACGTCCCTTCCGTTCCCGATCCTTCTCCTCCTCCTCCTCCTCCTCCTCTTCCTGCTGACCTGTCTCCTCTCTTCTCTGTCCTCTCGGCCTTAACCCATCCTACTACCCCTATTCCTCCCACTACGTCTTCCGATCCTCCTCCTCCTCTTCCCGCTGACCTGTCTCCTCTCTTCTCTGTCCTCTCGGCCTTAACCCATCCTACTACCCCTTCTCCTCCCACTACGTCCTCTTATCCTCCTCCTCCCATTGATCTGTCCCTTCTTCTCTCTGCCCTCTCAACCCTAACCCATCCCACTACCTCCCATCCCTCTGCCCCTACTCCTCCTGCTACACCCTCTGATGTTCTTCCTAGTATCCCACCGGCCGATCTGTCATCATTGCTCTCCACCTCTAAGTCCCAGCCCTCTTTCCCTGCCCCCTCCGCTTCATCTTCTCTCGCCCCATGTACCCTTGGTCCCTCCGACCCTGTCCGCTCACCTGTCGCGTCCAACCCAGCCTGCCCCTACCTCCGCCTCCTCCATGCCCCTGGCCCCGTACACCCGTGAGACAAAACCCAGTTATCCACTCATGGTGGTCAGTTCTGATGAGTTTGCCACTTTGGGCCAGCACTATGCAATGGGTGTCTATCTGGCAGCCTCAGGCTTCCATCCTACCATGTCACAGTTGGGCAGCCCACATAACCTTGTTACTGCCTTCCCGAACCAGGCCCCTGCTATCCCGGCCGCTCCGGCCCCAGCCTCCCCTGATGTTGCTTCCTATCAAGAGGGTCCCATTGCTCCCGGGGATGACGATGTAGAAGAGTGTGGCCCGCTCCGCTCTCAGGATAATAGACCCCCACAGAGACAGGCTCTCCATGTACCCCCAGTTACCGAAGGTGCTCCACCCATGTATGTCACGTTCAACCCCTCGCAAGCTGCTACTTTGGTCACTTCCCTCCCCGATCCAGAGAAACAACCAATGCCCTTCTTCCGCAGAATGGCTCAGATCCGTAAAACATACTCCGCTGGTTGGCAGGATCTTTATAGTCTGTGTGAAATTAAAGCTGGTGATGCCTATTGGCCGATAATGGCGAGGAGTTTCACTGACGCTCCTCTTACTACTGACACGGACTTCCAGTCTGGTATTACTTTCTGTGAACAACTTCGTGCTTGGGCACAAGACAAATTGGCTGACCAAGCCACATGTATAAATGATATTGTTCAGGACAAACTTGAGTCTGTTGAGAAATACCATTAACGACTAACCCAAACCTTTTCAGATTTAGGGTTTAGTACATATAATAAAGCACATACCCAGATGTTGTCCGCCTCCTTTGTAGCTGGTTTGAGAGATCACATACGTAAGTGCTTAATCCTCTCCCGTCCTGAGTATCGAATAATCCCTCTGGACACCCTTTTGTTGGTAGCTAAGGGTCTAGAGTCAGTGTCTCAGCCTGTACAGAGAAGAGCTAGCCCACTGATGCTCCTATTGCTGGGACTGCCCAAGTTACCCCGGGTTATACTGTACCACAAGCCACGGTTCCTACTCGGAATCAGCCATCAGCAGCCAGAACCTGTTATAACTGTCATCAGGTTGGCCACTTTCAAAGAGATTGTCCCCATCCAAGATTACACAGGTCACTGCTCCCCCGGTATTCTAATCCTTCAGCTACCGCTTATGGATATTTCCCTCCAGGATACTTTCAGTCACCGCCTCCTCCCCCGGTTCCATACTTCCCACCACCCGAGTATTCTCAGGCTCCGCCACCACCTCCAGATGCCCGTACTTATCCTCCAGTTCCTGCTGACGGGTTTGATACTGAAGGTTTCCAGGAGAATCGCCCTGTATATAGGGAAAACCGTACTACTCGTCCCGCTCCCCAGGCTAGTCTCCCTACCACTTCTGCACGTCTCTACACTGGCCCCGACCAGGCCCATTTAGATTTATTACAATAGGTAGCCGGCAAGCCTGTGTCTGATACCCCTGCCATGGCAGTGTCTACAGGGGATGGGGGAGGGCCTCTCGCCACAGTTATCCTGCCCGTTAAGAGTCATCCCACTACCTTCTTAGTTGACACAGGTGCAGCCCGCAGTGTTCTTAGAGAACAAGACCTGCCAGACCCATCCTACCTGTCAGACACCGATGTATCCTGCGTAGGTATTGACGGTTCTCCCCGCAGTAATCCACTAACTAATCTCCTACGTATGGGTTCTGATATCCTTTCACGATTTGTTGTTTCCTCCACCTGTCCCATTAACCTTTTTGGGTGCTGATGTCCTGTCCTGCCTTCAAGCCTCAATCACTTTCACTGCAGATGATCAGGTCCAATTACTCACACCCCTGTCACGAAAAGACACTTCTGTCCTCTGTTCCCTACCCTTATTGCTACATCTCTCATCTCCAGTAGGGGAATCAATGGTCACGGATACCCCCAGTGCTCTGGACAGAATCCCTGCCAAACTTTGGTCTATAGGCCCAGATGACATGGGCCTCCTAAAAGTTCCACCAGTCGTGGAAGACCTCAGTATCCGTTGAAACCTGCACAGGCCTTCGCCATCTCCAAGCAAGTTGACAGCCTCCTGGCCAAAGGTCATCAAATGTGTTTCCTGTCAAGAAGAAAACTGAAAAGGGCCAACCAGACCAGTACTGCATGGTCCAGGATCTGCGTGCCGTTAATGATGTCACCATCAAAGACACCGCTGTTGTCTCCAATCCACACACCCTGTTGTCACAGGTTCCACCCACAGCCAAGTTCTTCACTGTGGTCGACCTTGCTAATGCCTTCTTCAGCTTGCCTCTGGATCCGTCCTGCCAGCATCTCTTTGCGTTTACTCATGACTGCCAACAGTATACATGGACTATCATGCCTCAGGGGGCACGGAGTTCTCCTACTCAGTTTGCAAGGGCCACGTCCATGGTCCTGGAACCCTGGCAAAAGGTTCACACAGACGTGGTCTTGCTCCAGTATGTTGATGACCTACTTCTCTGCGCTGCTGACCTTCCAACTGCAGAGCGCATTTCCGAAGATCTTCTATGCTTTCTGGCTGAAGAAGGTTGTAAAGTCTCTAAATCCAAACTCCAGTGGTGCCGGCCCTCTGTGGTCTTTTTGGGACACTGCCTCTCCCATGGCACCCATCATCTTATCAGGAATACAATTCTTGCTATTTTAAATCTGCACGCCCATCTACTCATCAGATTCTACATACCTTTTTAGGCCTCATTACGTATTGCAGATCCTGGATTCCTGAAGCTTCCCAGCTTATGCAACCACTATATGACGCTTTGAAGAGCGACCCGTTCTCACTTTCACCTCATGCACTAGCCTGCTTCTCAGCCCTGCAAAAGGCAATTTCTTCCACACCTGCTTTGGGCCTACCCAACTACCAATTGCCTTTCAAACTGTTTGTTTCAGAAAAGATGGGCCATGCTTCAGGGGTCCTTACACAATCCCATGGTTCCAGACAGAGACCCATTGGCTATTTTTCCTACATGCTCGACCCTGTTGCCAGAAGTAGTCCTTC